GAAACCTTCTTCTGGCTGGAGGGAGCCTCGCCCAGGGCTGTGGCCTCTCTCTTGTTGCTGGCCAGGGGGTCTGTGCACTCAGGTCGCTCCTGGGGCGCAGCAGGTCCCTGTGCCCAGGCTCACCAGGCCCCAACTGATCTGTGTGCTGCCAGACTCCAAGGGCTCAAACCTCTCAAGACAGTGTCTCCTGTGGGGTGCTGAGCACCCTTCTTGGGGAAAAACATGGGTTCTGGTGGGTGAGATCAGACCTGCTGCAGCATCCCGAGTGGTTCCCTGGATGCGGAGCTTGGTCTGTGCTGGCCCCAGGTGCCTCTGGAGCACAGCAGAGCTCACCCTGCCCCACGGGCACTCGGGTTATCCACTCCCAGCACCCCATACAACCCTGTGCCAGCACCAGGCACAGAGTGGCAGTGAGTCCCTGGTTAGAGAGCAAGGAAGAGGAAGAGGAGGAGGAGGAGGCAGAGCAGTCCCTCGGGAGCAGGCGCAGCAGTGAGGACTGGTCAGGCAGGGGGAGCTGCTTGTGTTGATCCCAGAGGGTTTGTGCAGGGATGTGTGGCCTGGTCCCTGAACAGCTCAGTGCTTCCCAAGCAGCAGGGCAATCAGGTATTTGCTAATTAAGGCAGCTGCTGCCAGCAGGTTGGGACAGGCCCTGGGTGTGAGCTGGAGGAGGGCTGGGCAGGTCCTGCCCTCCCTGGGCAGGTCTGAGAGCTCCTCTGAGCTTTCTGGAGACCCCAGACTGGTTGGCATGGGGGAGATGGGCCCTTGAGGGGACAGCAGAGAGGCTGTGCTCCCCATGTCCCCAGGGAGCAAGAGCTGGGAGTCAGCTCCTTGGCCAGCAGGTTCCAGCCTTGAGCAGTAGGATTGTGGAAGTGGGGAAATAACAGGGGGGGATTAGAGCAGAGCAAGTCTGGTTCTGTGGGCTGTGTGTCCTGTGTCCTGCAGTCAGGCTGCAGCTGGTGGGAGAGGCCTGGGAGAGGTTTGCCAGGGCTCTCTCAAACAAGGGTGTCTGGAAAGGCTGAGACCCACTGAGCTCCAGGGTTTGCTTGTCCCTGGCCTGTTTTCACCCAGGACCACTCCTATATTGAAGAAGACTTGGTGTACAGAGGTGCCAGAGGTGCTGCTGCTTGTTTCTGGTGTCTGGAGTCACATCAACTGGGAGGGCTGATTTTCTAGGTGTTGTTTTGGGTGCCGGGCCCAGCAGGGATCGTGTCGCCTGTGCCTCCATATCAAACCTGCCCAAGGAAGGTCTCTGTGCCATGCTGAGTTGTCCCCTGGGCTGGGGGCAGCAGGACAGCCCTGGAGATGGGACTTATTGACAGCTCACTCTTAAAAACTGCTTTACAGGTCTCCCCCTTGTGTTTCCCCAGCGGCTCCCCAGGTCCCTCCCTTCCCGAGCACCCTGCCCAGCTGAGGGAGCAGCTTGAGGACCTGCAGGAGACAGAGATAAGCTTTGTGAGTACTGCCCTGCTCTGGGGGGGTGGGATTCCAGGGGTTCCATGGTCCCTGGCTGTGCTGGGAAGATGGGCACTGGGTGGGATGTGAGTGGCCCAGAGCAGGAGCAGATGTTCTCCATCCCCCTCTGGAACCTGTGCTGAGCCTGTGCTGTGCCAGGCACCCTTTGTGCTCTGTGGGATCATTTGCTGCCCCAGATGCCTTCAGGTGGGTCAGCAGGAGGCAAAGCAGAGACATTCCTCTCCCGGGGTGGGTCTGATGGCAGAGATGAAACAAAGGTGAAGCCACTCAGGCTCATCTTGTCCCCACAGTGGGTGATAAATCCTCACAGCTCCTGTTTCAGCGTGTGGTGCTGGTTGGGCTAGGACTGAGCTCAGCAGCCCCCTCTGCTCTGCCTCCAGGGTGGAGAAGGTTTAGGGCAAGAGCAGGCAGGAGAGGAGACCCCCTGCTCCTCAAGAGGAAGGCAGACCCCTCCCCAGCATCTCCCCCCTCTTTTTACTCTGCTGTTCCACAGTGAAGCAACAGCCAGGCAGCCCT